GGGGGGGGGGGGGGGGGGGGGGGGTAGTAGTTTGAAGTGAGAAGTCAAATGCCGGTTAAAAGAGTATAAGTTGCCCAGGGTGCACCACGAGGAGGTAAGTCTATCGCATACCCCAAATTATGAAATATAGCATTGAGCAACAAACATCTTATCATTGGCGAGGGGGGTAACTAAGCGGACGATTATATAGACTCATTTACAGTCGCTCTTAGTCGGAATGAGAAAGTGAGGACAAACAAAAGTTGAAAATTACACGACAGAGAGACCGCAATTCGATAGATTAAGTAGAATTAGAATAACACGAATCAACACTTAAGTCAAATCAATCAGAACTTACGAATTAGGCAAAGCGAAATAACATGACTAAGTGAACAAGGGTATCTGAAATTATAGCTATTCCATAACGTGGTTGTTACCATTTGTACTGGTGGCGGAGTGATAAAGGCGTATAACTACCTAATTAGAGGCCACGAGATTAATGATTTTTGGTGCGCATTCAAAAATTTTATGATTTAACGCAATCGCTAAATGCAGGCAACATGCGAAATCAAAGTAGATTAACACTCCTCACAATGCTCAGTACAGTGAGTTACTTAATTTTCGGTATTTTTTTGTACATTTCAGGTTTCCCAATACACTTTCATAATGGCAGCTTTCAAGGAGGCAAAGAGTATTGCTTACGAAAGCATGGTTATTGAGGGTTATACTGTTGATTACTGCGAAGCTAATCAAGGTGCGCTCATCCTCAATTCTCTCCCCCTGTTTTTCCTTCATTAAAATGCTTCAGGAAATATGATATAATTGCGTTGTGTTCGCACTCCCTCTTCCCTCCCCCCCCCCCCCCCAACTCCCCCTCGGCTTCCGTTATATTTACTCCTTATTTAGTTTATTGAACATGGTAACGGGATTTGTGAAAGTCAGCTGGATTATTTTAGTATCTCACCATTTTCTATGTTGCTCGATGCCTTTGGCGTTTTTTTTACTATTTACGACACTGCTCCATGAACACGCCCTTTTAATAGCCTCTTTTATCCCACATCAAAGCACTCTCTCAACCGTACCAAAATGTTGCCTGTGGTGTTTGGTTCAAAGAGAATGCAGAATCTAGACTTTTTTATTCCTTTTAGGTGGTAATACTGGCTAGCAATGCGGAGGAGTTCTATTGAGAATGAAAGCTAGCTGGATAGAATGGGAATCACCATTTCTGAAATTATGGATAAGAGGATAGACATTTAACCCATACCTATATTATGACATGTGATTATTGCTTCCAGTTGAAATTTCCAAATTTAAAATTTCGTTAATAAATTAGCGAGTCACTAAAATATTACCACAATAACCATCCTAGATTGAAGTCGGAAAATTAGTTCCAAGTTGTTGAGTGGTGGTTTCTTATTAAAGGGTTCACTGTCGATCTGAATCACTAATACCTCCTTGTCAAATTAAATTTAAATCTCAACCTTGGTAGTCAATCCTATTATGAGGACTTATTCTTTGTGAAGATTCACTTATTTTGAACAAAATAGCTAAATAGGACTGAGAGAGCTAAATTTCATGTGGATTTGGAATATAGAATAAAATTAGGCCAAGTAGTGACTTCATTTAATCTTAATTAATTCATTTTTAATGGATTGAAATTTGAGGTAGAGATTCACATGAATTGTCTAGGTCTTATAGAGATAGGTTATAAAATTATGCCTTTCATTACCTTCTAATTCGATTTCCAACAAATTTATACAACCACCTTTTCGCATCACTACCAATATTTTCGTTTAATAGGTAATATACTGGCATCCTAAAAAGATTCCTAAAATTGTTTTATTCTTTATAACGTGATGTAATTAGTCTTTTAATGGAACTTAGTGTCATGATTTTAAATACAAAATTTTATATACATCAATGAAATTAGTTATCCATGTTTTACTATAATGAATATCCCATTATTCCCTTAGAGCTATTATCAGTTGCTAAAGCCGAGCTGGCAACAGAATCTGGGGGGCTTCTTTCCTCTTCAATGCCCTCCTTGAACAAAGTGAAGGGTGGGGGCTCTGGAAGTATCTCCGTTACATTCAGTGGCGGCAACCGATCCAAAAACCCCTCCGTTGTGATGGTGCCCACATCTCGTGAGGTGGCCTCTCTGCAGTGCAGTGAAGATGCCAATAATGGCGGCAATGGTACTGGAGTCACTGCTCTTGGTGGGCCTAGTATCTCCGTAAGCCGTCGACTCCCACGCTTTTTCTTCAATCTCGTCAAGGAGGGAGACACACTCACCTTCGCAGTATTTGAAGAGACCGAGTTGCATTCTTGGGTACAGGCTATTCACCGGGCTACCGGCCAGTCTCATAAACCTGTGCCAACTACTCGAATGATTTCAAAGACTCAACTTAGGAAAGGTGGTAGGTTGATACGCTCTCTGAGATGGGTCTCGAGACCTATATCTCCAGATGACTCTCCTATTACTTCTATTTGGATAAAATTTCAAATAGAGTACGACAATTCGAAATAGAACCTTTGATAGGGCCCATTTTACCACAGAGCCATTGAATGAGTAGTGAGGGAATTATTTTGCAAGGTGTTAAAGAGGCAGAATGTTGATACCTTGGAAACATGCGGCTTGTTAGGACATTGTTGACAACTTAAGATTAAAAGCAAAATAGATAATAGGAAAAATTTGCTTTAAACAAGAGAAGCATCAAACAGTCCTGGAAAGAATCAAAATGTGAGTGAATTAAGAATCATTTCCTTGATTTCTACCTCAAATTTTAATGCCCACTTATTTCAGTTGTCAATTCTACGTGTCTGCAAGACAATGCACCAAGTAATTTGGATATAATTTGATAATTAATAGACATCAGCTGAGTTTACGCCAAGGGGGTATTAAATTGCAGTTATTGCAAAAACTCGAATACAGAATTTACCATATAAATAGTTCAAGTTAATATATGCTTTGAATAAATGAAAAGGTAAAGAGAGCAATCTATGGAGATCTAATAAAATATTAAATGTCATCCCTTCCCCCCCCCTCCCCCCACAATTACGAAAGTTGATACAATTCACTCTCCCTTTTTATTTCCGTCGTTTTTGCTTTGATCTTTTTCTAGTTATTGAGAGTTATTTCCTCCCAAATTGTCTGGTCTTGTTCACAGACTTACAACTTTTATCACTAAACCACCGATTCTCTCACCCTCCCCCGCCCAACACTTCTCTTTCATATTTCATTCTTCTTCAATTGAACCGCGGAGATCACTTCATAATATGTATTGAGTCATATAAATGTATCGTCCATAACTTTAATTTTAGCTAACTTTTATTCGATTTAGATCGGGACAGTGCTCATCACCTTGGTGTAAGCTCTCTAGTCGCAGTGAAGCCATACGAAGTTGACCATTTGCCTTTGCTCAAGGAACTCTTTGTTCGAATGTTGGAATACCGAACCAAGGTGCCTACCATTCGCCCATAAAACCATATCTCACAAGATTCTTTCGATGTAAACAATCATATTTCTTCTTCAGGATCCGTTCGTATCACTTGGTTGGCTAAGTCCATCACAATGTCTGGTGCTAGATGAGTATTGTAATCGTTACAGTATTCGCGAGTGTCAGCGAAATCTCCTCTTTCTCAATGAATTGCTAAACTATGGCGAACAGGATATAATGATTGATATCGAATTGATTTTTCAATCATACGTTCTCTGTGCTGACCACGTTCAAGGAAAAACGTTAGTCCTTTCTTAAAGGTTTTAATAAATGGACCATTGCTTTAAGTATTCAACTGCAAGTGAACTTTATTTATTACAAATCCATCGCTTTATGGACTTGAATAGGACCACCATCGAAGACAGAAAAAAACCTAAAATAAGCCATCAATAATTTATACCACGTGAATTCACAATATACAACTTTGCGTACTTATCCCTGAGTTATATAAGGAAGATTGAGTTAGGTTGAAAGCTCTTATCTTATGCATCTTAGATATAGTGGTACAGTTGGATAGTTAGTCCTTACATATACTCAAAAACTGGTAACAAAGAACAGTTGCTGGAAATTGACTGTTGTAGCTCTGATGGATCTATAGAAACTTAATTACACTAAAGTTGGACTTATACTATGATTAAAAGAACTAAAACTGCCCAGACTCTAGAAAGAAGACGGAAAAGACCTGTAGTTCAAATGACTTCTTTTCATTGAGGAATCACTTGTATATGAAATTTGCCCGTGTGATAAAAGATCAGTTATCTGGTTAACCAATAACCATAGTTCTTTTATTTGTAGCCAGGCGTGACTGAAATACGAGTCTATAAATTTGTTTATGTGTTTTGCTCAAGGGCATGGAAATTCTTGAATCCGACTTTATATCAGAGCTGAAATAAAATTGATGAGACAATAAAATGAAGAAAAAACCTTATGGGAGATGCTACTGAACGCTTTGTACCGAACTACGGGAACTTCCAACTGCTTTAAACTATCTTGATTATTTCATTGCCTAAGCAAGCACAAAGTAGGTGCTATTCCATTTAGGGGAAGGTCTCGTATTGGTGTTGACCGCTCTACTACCCCACTGTCTGCTATTCACCATAAATTGGGTCTATAACTATGATCATTTGAGATAAACAAAGCAAGCAAACATGGCATATTTACCCACTTCCGTTTCCTCCCCCTCTCCCTTCATTTATGTCTTGTACATCTGTGTTCTAGCCCCTTTCGCCTTGAGTGATGACTTTGCACCTCTATCTCTAACATTACAGGAAAGAAAAGGGTATAAATACGGTACTTAACATTGAAATGGATGATTTCCAGAGACTTCGAACTCGCTTACTCGTTTTCCTCGAGAAACGTCTCACTGGATTCCGATTTCACTTCCCTTTCAACCGACCTGAAGGAGGATTAGAAAAGTTGCTTGCTCTATTGGATCGGGTAAGTGCTAAGCTTCGATTGAATGGATTATTAAAGAATTAATATTTATGGGCTACATGGTTAATGAACTTAAGTGGGATCAATGAAATCAATATTGAGTCGTATTTCGATCCTGGTGTTACTGGATAGGAAATATGCAAGATTATTTATTAAAAAACTTGCTTGGAGGCCTAATTAGGAATGTATCTTAATTGCAATATGTAATTTAATTGAAATTTATCTATTGGCTCAACCTTTGTTGTTTATTATATTTGCAGAAGTAGTACACTACTCAAATAGAAAATCAGTATTACACTTTCTTCTAACTTTTAAGGTTATGGCACATTCAAATGAAGGGAGTGCATCAGTAGAGGCAGTGCGGTCTATGGTACGAGTATGCCTTCGAAATGCCGCTGTTTTAAATTACGAGAAGGTCTTCGATTTATCCCAACAAGAAGGTGCGTATTTAAGTTATTAAAAACATTTTCAACATTCCGTTAATTTTTTGTCGTCCTTCCACCCTCTCCCCTTCCTATTTGACATGTCCCCCGAGCATTTCGTGTTTTTGAATATTTAAGGCAAATGCGCCAATGTTTTCATGCACTTTTTTCTTTCTAACTTTTGCAGCAAAGAAACATGAAGATCCCAGTGATGGTATGTCATCTTCTGTTCACAATTAACTCGCTTATTCGTCTCTTCATTTGTCAAAATACTGATCGAAAAATAAGCCCCTCTTAATTAGTACTTAATCCCTCTACCCAGTAGTATTTGCTAACTACTAACTTGAGGTTTTAACCTCCAGTGAACTTTTGAGTATAATAGCAAAACGCTGTTTTGACCCTTAAATAAGTTTTAAGTCGCACTAATTTTAAGGAGGAAATCCAGCTTATAATACGCCATTCCTCCTTCAAATTATTTAATGTCTGTCTCGCAAGGAATAAACCTTGCCTGTTCTTAGATTTATCACCTATTTTAGCAAATGACAACTTTGTTCGGGTTTTGCTGGAAAAGATTTTACTACTTTATATCGTTTTTCTTTATTTGGCCTTCCCCTAGCTGGTCTAGATACCCATGTAACACGTTTGCGCAATCTTCTACGACTTTCGGAAATTTGCATTGATACTCTGCAACAAAATGATGATTATTTCGCTAAGGTTAGTTCCGTTATTTTATGAATGGTAGTGCTTATTTGTAGGTTTTTTGTAAAGCTATTAAGTTGATGGAGTAAAGGAAGAATAATGAGGATAATTATCCATAGCATCATTTTGCATGTATTATTTTTATTGTTTTGCGCGTGAGAAGTGCACTATTTTCAAAATCTGTGTACATTACGCTGAAGTTACAATTTCTTATCGATCTACTTATATTGTGAACTCAGTAGTACATGATAATTGCCTTGACCTAGTGTATTCTTTAAGTAGATCAACTAAAATATTTGTGAAAAATTAAGCCTCAACATGATATTTCAATGATGGGCTGTTTGAAACTATTTATAAGGCCTGCTAATTTATTTTAGTCATTTATCTGGTATGGCGATTTGTTTGTGGAACACGCAGAGAACTTTCTATCGCTGTTTCAAATGGACATGTCTGATGTTTTGGACAATATACCAGCTGACAACTGGGGAGTTTTTCAGGTATTTCAGTTCCTCAATGGATGCCTTCTCAATTCAGGTAAGTTGCTTTAGTATTGCGTTAAACTGGTTATGTTTTGGTAGAAAGACTGGGTAGTGAACACTTTCTTCACAAATAACGAAAATTTGCACTAAACAGCTAAGCATAATGTGGCACTTAAGGATCGTGATTTCGGAAATTAGCCAGTGCGCCCCAAAATTGTGTCAACTTCGAATGTAATTAACAAAGGCCGCTAGAATCACGTTTAGCATTACTCAAGGCCACCGAGTACATGCCTCACTTTGAATAGACGATAAACAGCTCGATATTTTACGTGTCTGCTTATCTTTCTTATCAGCTGTTAAAAGCATGAGAGTGAATTCTGTTTTTGGTTGTCTTTTTTGGAGATAATGAAGGAAATAAGATCTATCAGAAGCCTGTCATAGCAACAAACTTTTATTTCCCGTAGTTGTTAAGTTAATAATTTCCTTTTTTGCCTCTAACCTGTCTTTCATACTGAAACTGATCCAAAAGTGGCATCATCAATATGTAAGAAGTCGTATTTTCGTGTCACAGTGACGATAGATCATCATATTAGATCCAAAGCAAAGTAAAGTGTTCTTTGGTTATAGCCATAAATATTCAAATATTTACATCATGATATAAAGAGTAAGTAGTAATTACAAAACATTCACATTTTAAGTAGATTTATCAGATAGGCATGCATTTTAATTAAGTAAATATGCAAATTTGAGTGCTAAATAGTTGTAAGTGGTACTTGAGGAACCAATGAATGATTTAATTGAATGAGATTAATGGTCAAAACGTTAGAAATTTTTAAGCAATCGGTTATAGTGGAGAATTTGAATTGTCGAGTCTTAGTTATTTGTATTTCCGTGTCGACGTAACCAAAACTAACCAAAATATTGAAATCATTGTGCTTGCCACTCCATTTCTCCCTCTTTTTTTAAATCGCACATTTGAAGATTTTGCTATTAGAATGTATTAAGTCAAGCCCTTTTGGCTGTGCTTATGGCAATTTGTTTTCGTTCCGCCCATGTCTCAAAGTATTTCTTCTTAATTAATCATTAAGTGTTGTAATAATTACTCAAATGCACTTTAGTTGTGTCGGATGAAGGTATTCATGGAATGCCTTTTACCCAATTTAGAAACCCTTGCAAATGGACAATTTCACTCTGCTCTATTGGATCGCTTTGCACCCATAGTGGAGAATTACCTCAGCCTCATGGAGACATCTATTACCAAGTTTCTAGTCGCCGGAATCGAAAAGGAAACCTGGGTACCACTGTCTGATGAAGGAGCTCAAACAGGCAAGCTTTCTTTCACGATTTACCCGTTACATTTGAGTGTGCACTTTCCATTGTGCAATTATGCTCTGTGTTATCGTATTTGCCTCTTTTGGAGTACAAATAGGTAATCTCTCATTGCCTGAAATAGTCTGTTACTTATTTGACTGAATTTTGAATATATATTTTTCATTTGTTCAGTTCGGGCTTCTCAGTAAGTGAAGATATTTCGTCTACATGTCTTTGAGTTTGTGTGGTCTTTCTGTCTGATATACACATCTGTTCAGATGGTTATGTATTGGATTTGCATCAAGTAAACACTGCTTTATGGTTCTTTACGGAAATTAAATAGAGTTGAAAAATTGAAAGCATTCTTTTTCATTTTAGCGTCAGTGTTAGATATAGTACTGTATAATGTTTTTCATTTGGTAATTAATTTATTTGGTACTGTTTGCAGTTCACCTTGAATAAGGTTAGCCGATTTCGAATAAGATATAGGGCGTCTCACTGTTGTAGATGTTTAAGGTCTTCATTTACCATATCCATAACTGCTTGCGGAACATAGCGCGTAGAGCACTGCAGATCTGCTCTTTTGTCAGTTTAACGAATTCGCTTCAGATAGGGAGACCGGTTATATTTTTGGACAACCTTCTGATCTCCCACGCCTCTTTTGGGATTATACCTTAAGAGGTAATTAAATGTCAAAGAAAATAATTCCCTTTGCACTATGCTTTACATATTTCGAATGAGATTCACCAACTTACTCCCTTTACTGACTATTTCTTTCAGTGGCTCGTTGGGTTTTTTCACTATCAGTTTTAGTATACTTGTTTTTAGTGGTAACTGAGGTTTCGCATGAAGTCCAGAGATGAAAATAGGCTCCTGAGCTGTTCCAAAAAATACATTAGAATGAAATTCCACAGTTCGGTCTAAATCGAATAAGTCAATATTTTCGATCACAAATTTAAGACTATTAAATCAAGGCTTGAAGGTGGAGAGAATTTTTGTTCAAAAAAATTTTCGTGGCCTCTACTGTTCCATAATACCTGAGTTCATCGAATTTCTCGGGGGGGGGGGGGGGGGGGGGGACAAATTTAGATTCAGATTCCTGAAGAATCCGAAAAACCCACGTTTTTCCATCCCACTTGGAAATTTTTGCTTTGAACAAATTAGCGTTTATCGTACCACGATTCAAAGTGTTCATCTCCTTTAGGTTCATGAAGTATTTATTTTTATATCAAACGGCAGGCGTTTTGATGTTTATCATTAGCCCTTTAGTTGACTTCAGGCTTCACAGAGGGGAAAGAACATCAAAGTCGAGAGGGGGGGACAAAGGAGTGTTTCAAAGACGAAGGTAGAAAAGGTAGTACCGTGGAAGTGGTCGAATATGACATACAGTGGGGTGATGGTAGTTAGAGGCCAGAAGTCAACTGCCGGTTAATCGACTTTTGTTGCCGTATGAGTATACGTTGCCCAGGGTGCACCACGTGGAGGTAAGTCTATCGCGCACCCCAGGTTCATGAAGTAATACAGCAAGTTCTTTGTGACGTATTGAGCAGCTGCATTTCAAGAAATTTTACCGTATTTATATGGTTTAAGAGAAAATAATGAAGAAGAGGAGGACATGTGTTTATAAACTCCCAATTAAGCCGTGGGCGCTTTAACAACTACAGATTAACTGTTGAATATTAGAAACAATAGAAAAAAATCAACCGATTATTGAGGGAATTGTGTAACTTTAGTTTAGCATTTGCACAAACGTCACAATTTGTGTTTTTCGGGTTGTCATTTGTGCCACTAAAAATAACTCCGATTCCCTGAACTCATGAATAAATTTCGGAATTTACTCAAAATACTTTCAAACAATCATCCATATGTAAATATTCACCTTTTAATTTCAAATGTTTGTGGAATTCACTTAAAGTGTGATTTGCGCAATTTGACATGATGGCTTCCTGCTATTTAAGCCATAAAATTATTTCTTGCGTTAAACTAAAAGACTAATAAGGATTTTTCTTATAATGAAATGAGCAAATACCTAGAAATGTTTTATGCATAAGCATTATGACTTACTTTGCCCGTTTTTCAGCAGAATCAAGTGACCTTGTCGCGGGTTCATCGATTAGTTCTCAGACCCATCCCGAAACAGACACGGAGAGCTACCGCTCACTGAGCATGCAACGGCGTAATCGTTCAATACGCCACATTCCAACAAACGACGGCACTGGAGCAGGTTCAGGCGGGAACGACAGTTCATCTCCCCCACCTCCACATCGGCAGAATACCTTATCCCGCCCTCCGTTAACCAATACCTACAACGGCCTGAAATCTTATTCAGGTTATTCTCTTTGATAATAAAGTGCCCCTCTAACTCTTACAGCAACTCTAATTAAGATCTTAGCAACCCAATTAAAACATGAATTATACCACTGTTATTTAAGGAACGAGAAGACTAATGGCTAGTTGAGCAAATGAGTGCTGAAATGTGAGTGTTAGGGAGAGGTGAGTAAGTGCTCAGACCCCAAGAAGAAGAATAAGCTCGTCAGGACTTACATTTTAAACGACTTTGTAATTAAAAGTATGGAAGTTAATATGTTGTAAATGACTCACTGCCTGAGTAGCCACTGACTGTAGTTATTACAGTTTCCTACTGTGTGATAAACCACTTAAGTGATGTTTACTCAGCTTATTTTTCCTTTTTCTGCAGCTCGAACATCCCGAATAACCAGAAACTCAACAGTTGTGGGCCCAACGAGCGCTTTTCTCAACGTGCTCTCCCGAAGTCGTCCCCTTGCTTTTGTTTCTCGAGTCATGAATCCCGCCGCCTCAATCCGATCAGCCAGTGTCAACATGGGTCGACAATCTATCGTCGTGATCACACCACCTCCCACTTCAGCCTCTGCCAATGAGAGTGTACTGGATGCCGAGGGAGAACGTATGGAACACTCCGACTTGGCAGCAGAGTTAGCATGTGCTCGATGTTGTCGAACAGTGGGCACATTGATATTCCGTCTCTATGCATTAAAAGACTTTATTGAGGAACTTGGCTGGCCAGAGCGAGTAAAGGCGTCAGGATGGGCTGATTCTACTCGGAAGATGTGCTCGAGTCTTCTGCGGGAAGCAGCTAAGAGAACGCTAGTTGAACTAGACTCCCATCTTCGACAATCGAGCAAATCGACGGACCTTATAGTGCCTCTTGAATGCCTTACAATGATCAATACGATCACTGCAATCAGAATGCAATTATTCTCTCTATGCCATCGAAATGAGTCAGAAGTTGCTGGGGATGTGCAATCGGGGAGCAAAACAGAGAGCCCTGGTGAAATTTCTATATCACAACCGACTTCGGTAGGTGCTTCTATCTCTCCTTTTACTAATGTTTATATGACAACCATGACAAACCTAATGAAGAGCATTGTATTAACTGAATGGATTGAATTTGAGAACAGAAAGAAATTTCAGTTAGTAACGTCAATCAGCGGCTTGAATTGGATCAATCACAGTTCATAGACTTTTCCTTAGTAGAATTTTTTCAACCACAATGAAATAGTACAATTCCCTTTTACTATTGAGTTCAAAATGAGGATTACTTCTCAAGGGTAAACATACCGAAATAAAGTAATCTTACATCATTGTCTGCAAGCCCGTTGCTCATTTTATTAGCAAAACAATGATATTCCCAAATGGCTAAAAGTGGACGACAGCAGCCTTTCCAAATCAGTGCGCAAGGTTCAGAACCAACGAAAATGGAAATCACGAGAAAAAGTGTGCGAAATCTGTGTTGACCGTCAGATGAACAACAAATGTAAAAATCATTTGGGGGTGAGATGCGTGGGTCAAATATATGGTCCTATGGTCCTTTCGAGATACACGCGGAATGTGACCCAAAATTGCCGACAAAAGCTAAAAGTATAGGCATGTGGGTGTGTATGTGTGTTTATCGGTCACTTAATCTAATCTTATTTCGCTGAATCAGTTTGGGCATTAACTACCGGTTGAAGCCATTATGCCCTTTAATAAGATTGAAACATTCTTTACTGGTCGCAAAGATATGTGAGTAAGAGTATAACTAGTATGTTTTGTAAGTTTTCTATGTAAGTTTTGCATCCTTTGCTCTTGCTTAAACACTATCGGTAGCTTAGTATTATTTTGAGCACCTCAATTACCCTCAAGAGAGTTGAAATAAATGCATTTGGAATGGGAGAGAACGTTCTTTGCCGTGACTTATAAAGATGGAATATTCTTCGCAATCTTATTTGAGTAAATGCAAAGTTAAAATTACTTGAAGCACTTTGAATATCCTCTTCATTAATCTGCGTTAACTTAATACGAACTCATAAAAGTGAGAAGTGTTATTAATCCATAAAGTCGGTTACGGTACCCTCCCGAGCCCCTCCCCCCCCCCCC